TCTTACACATCTCCAGGGACAGGCAACTTAAAACAAAAGTGAAACAAAATAACATAAGAAGAATCTTAAAATGGCTACCCATCCTCTCGCCCTGCCCTCAGGGGCGAGCAGTTCACTTACCCTCAGTCGCTCCCCGTGCGAGCCACCGAATGCCGCAGTCTGGCTGGGCACAATCAGGAGCCACTTGTCAAAAGAAACTAACTTTATTTTTAGAACCACACACGCCAAACAAAACAGCCTCTCAGGAAAAACCCTCAGAGCCTCAACTGCCACCACCGGCTTTCCACAAGCCTCTCTCTCCCACACAAGCTTCTCTCCACCTCCCACAATCCTCCTGCTCTTGAGGCCGATTGGCTGGGTCACATGGGCAGAGCCAAAAAAGTCCCCCAATGAGCAGCTCTGTGGTCTGAAAGGGCAGGGAAACAGCCCAATGAGCATCACTGCATAGGAGCCAATCAGCTAGATGTTGCTGGGGCTGAGGAGCCAATCAGCTAGATATTGCTGGGGCCGCTGTGAGCCAATCATCAGCCGGCAGCTGGAAGTTTGCTGGCAGCTGGAAGTTTGCTGGGGCCCCTTCGGCTGTGGCTCTCAACATCTCCCCCTCTCTGTTTAAACAACAGAGAGAGAAGTCCACCAGGCAGCCCACAGATGAGGTAGAAAGTCACAAGTAAGTGCTGCTCTGTTCCTCCTGGACCATGGGAGGGATCAGGGAATTGGGCCCTTTGTTCTCTATCCTAGCTCTTCCTGCAGAGATGGGGTAGTGAAAGGTGCACAAAGGTCCATGGTGATTCCTGTTGTAACTCAAGTAATCTTTTCTTGATCAGGATTTGACTTTTGTGTTTCAGAAGAATTTGAAGTATAATTAGAATTTTTATCAGGTTTTCCCATTCTTAGTTTTCTTAATCTATTTCATTTTTATGTTTCCATTTTTATATTTCAATGGGGTAAAAATTTCCCAGAAATCCTTACTTAAATAATGTTAGTTAACCTAGTCATCAATTAAAGAAAAAAAATTATTGTGAAATTGATTTAAGACATAAAAAATTATTTAATGAGACCATTCATTTAAATTTGAAGGATTGAGTTTTCTAACTGCTCTGCAATATTTTCCTTATGTTACACTAAGAAATTATTATAATTTTAGTTGTATTCTTGATGGAATATGTTAAGTTGGAAGTGGAAACTTCAAGCACAGTGTATTTTCCTAAGTAGGATAGTTTGTTCATTTAATTCAAATCTTTTTTAAAAAAATTCTATTATACAATATTATAACACTTGTTAATGGATCACTGTAGTTAGTAGAAAACAATTTGAAACAGATGAAATGAAGCATAATGGCTCCACCTTTACCCTGGAACATGGAGTCCTTCCTTGTCATTCATGTGTGCTTGGCTTGGACCATCATCATTTCTTTAGGTTTTTCTTTATTTTCACCATTTGTGTCCATGTAGGATACAGGTTTGGCTGTCTCTAGTCTAGATGTTTAAAACTCAGTAACAAAACTGGAACCCATACATTATATTCAGTTTACAAAATGAACTTCCACTTTCACTTAGGATTAGCAGGCCTCAGCAGACCATCAAAATCACTGCACTAAGGACAGAAGCAAATAATCATAAAATAACCACTTTATAATCAAGCTTGTCACACTCAGAAGCCTTGGAAGAAATGAAAAGGAGACCTACAATTTCTGAGACATATTAGACCTTTTAGGTGAGCTGAAATTCATCATTTTTTGTGTTTTTCCTCTTTAACATCTTGAGTGTCCCCAGCACTCTGGCATGGCCCTGGCAGAGGGGTTGCCTTAGGGAAGAGGACCTGACTGGGCTTTGGAAGTAGCCTTGAGCTGTGAGGTTGACTGACATGGCTGAGTCCTCCACAGCAGGCTGGGTTTCTCCTGTGGGCATTCGCTAAGGTGTGTGGGGGGTGGCAGGATGTCAAGTCCTCATGGGGCCTCCTCTCTTGTGATTCTGCACTGACTATCTCTCTATGTGTTAGGGACATGGCCTTGGGCTTCTGTATGTCTGCTCAATCTCCAAGCTCAGCTCTGCCTCCTGGTCAACCTCCTATCCATCTTGTCCACATAGTCCCTCCTGAGCGACCATTCTCTCTGGACTCATCCCAGGTCTATCTTGTGGGAAGGGTCACCTGCTGGGAACTCTCCCCTGCCCCCTGTGTGGACTAGGATTGTGTGATGTGAGAGAAGCACATTATGGCAGGAGCTTCACTGACCCTTGAGTCACTGGCCCACTGGAGGGTGCAGGACACACCACATTTCCATGAGGCTTGCAGTGGGCAAGGACAATCTTGAGGGCAAGGCAGGGTCTGTGACATTTGAGATCCTTTCTGAGAAACAGAAGAGATTCCATCTGGCTTTCTTAGTAAAGTCCAACCCCAGCAGTGTGCCCATCCCAGCCAATAAGGGCCACGGTTGTGTGCTGAACAAGACTTGATCTTTACAATGCCCTACACCTTCTCATTCAGTGCCAAGGCCCTAAGAGTAATAGTATTTTTCTCCATTTGAGCAAGTATTGCATTATATATTCTTACACCCACCCATAGTTTTTGGAATGTGGCATCTATTTTAAGTCTGTAATTCTTTCATACTTTGCTAATTACTTAAAAATATATACATGGATTCATACCCTCCCTTTCCATTTCAGAACCCATGACTGAATCTGGTCAAAGGTATCAACATGAGGCCTCCCTGGGAGAGTGCTGTAAAATGCTGAGCCTGACCCTGAGCTGGAGAAAGCTGTGGGCCAGAGATAAATGAAGTGCAAATAAGGGTGAGGGAGAGGAAGTCATCAGAGCCCTGCTCAAGTCCAGCTGTGTGCAGATGAGGTTTACATGAAAATAAATGCTAAAGAAAACACATACTTTTTTGTTGCCACAAACCACCTAATTCTTCGTCTGGTCCTGGTGAAGGCACTTGATGGGAGGGAAGCCCAGCCTGAGCTGTCATTCAGCTCCCATTCCATCTTTCTGGGTTGACCAGAGGCTCCTGAAGACCCTATACCCTCCCTCCTGCTCCTGCCCTGCCCCTCTGATGAGGTCTTAAAAAGAGCTTGAGCTCTAAGCTGGATACATGGTCCAGAGTCCATGACTACACTCTGTGCCCCTGAGATCCCAGGATATTTCTCTCCAACAGACAGATAATCTATGGTGCCTCTCACCTGACAAGCAGCATACATGGCAGCTGGGCCACCTAGCTTATAGCTTAATTTTTATAGTTAATTTTTATAGCTTGCTCAGATCAATAACACCAGCCTCCTCAGCCTCCACTGTCCTGAAGTCCAGCATGAAATCTGTCCCTGATTCTCTGCCACTGAAGTTGCCTGAGACCCAGAGTCAATTGGAAGCCCAAAAGGTCAGAAGCCACACAGACTCTCCCACCATCTGTAAGAATCAATGTATCCATCTGTCTGTTGAAGGCTCTGGGTGGACCTGCAGGAGGTGGATGGGTGGGAGGCAGGAGGGAGGAGCCTGGGTCATCACAGTAGAACCTGTGGGTCCTCCAATGAGAGAGAAATGGAAGGTTATGCTACCAATATGAGCCATGTTCATGATTTCTCTCCCAACCTTAGTCTCAGGCTATTGTGGGGTGTGTGTGTATGTCTGTGTGTGTGAAAGTGTGTGTGTGTGTGTGTGTGTGTGTGTGTGTGTGTGTGTGGAGAGAGAGAGAGAGAGAGAGAGAGAGAGAGAGAGAGAGAGAGAGAGAGAGAGAGAAAGACCTGATTTGGGTCATGTTCCAAAATTACACAAATTCTAATGGGTTATGGACTTGCCAGGTGAAAGGTGTCTCCAGAAGTCACCAAAGACCCCCTATCTTCCTATATCCCAGTATCCACTGGTACAAAAATCTATATCTCCTAAAAATATTCCTCCATTGTATAAATCAAAATTCACATGGCCCATCCTGGAGAGAAAACCTGCATATATAACATACAGAAAGAGCACACGTGGGCAGCTGTGGGGCCCCAGGGCTCACCATCCTCCCCATTCTCCCTCACCATTCCCTCTGTCCTCACCAGGGAGCCAGAGCAGCAGCAGCCCCAGGAGATGAGCAAGAGCCTCATTTTGAGAAGCCAAGGTAAGGAGTCCTGGTGAGTCAAGGCCAGGTTAGAGCTGAGCTCTTATCTTAGACAATTTCTCAGATGCCAGTCCCCTGGAGGGTGCAGCTGTGTGCTGGGGACCAGCAGGACGTGGACTCTGCCCTTTGAACAAATGACATAAAATGTGTTGTGTGTTTGGAGGAAAAACAGATCTCATTGCTTTTTACTTTTTGGAAACTTATATTCAACTTTACTAGCTAAGCATGTCCATTCAGATACCAAAATCCCCACTAGAGTCATCAAAAAGTTTCAAATTTGGAGCATTTTGGATGCTGGATGTTAGGAAAGAGGATGCTCATCTTGACCTAGAATAGATTGACATACAACAGAGTGGAAAGCACAGGGTGTGCCTGAGAGGAAGATGTTGTAACTGTGTGTGTGTGTGTGTGTGTGTGTGTGTGTGTGTTTGATTGTGTGTGTGTGTGTGCGCACACATTAGCAGTGATGTCAGAACAGGTGGTCACCAGCATTGCCTTGCCTTTCTCTATTTGCATCTCAGTCAAGAAGCCAGAAGCCTCAAAAGGAGAGAGTCCATGATGGACCCTAATCCAGGGCTGCAGGTCCATGATTCCCTGAGAGGCAGCAGGTGCAAGTCCAGGTCCAAAGACCAAAGGACTTGGGGTCGATTTCCAAGCCTGGTGGCAGAAGAAGCTCATGCTCTGGAGGAGGAAGAGCTTGAGAAGATCAAATATGAGCATCCCCTGTTTCTCCTGCAGTCTTCCTGGCCCAGGCCACTGAGCTGAGCCTCCTACACTCAGGAAGGGTTTCCTCACTTGGTCCCCTGATCATGACACCTAACTTCCTGGACATACTAATGCTCCAGGCATCTGTCCATCCACCCCAGCTGATACCACACTGTGTACTTCACAGAATCATGACAAAATAGCACAGAGGAAACAAGCTTTACTCTGGATTACACCAGGAAATGAATTGTCTTCTCTGAGTTGCTGGGGCTGAGGAAAAGCAAGGGACCACTGGAAAAAGAATCCTCCCACTTCCCCTCTAGGAAACCCTCACTGTGACCTCAGAGCCTGGTGACTCTGAGCAGTGCCCTCAGCAGGTGGATGCCGAAGGAGAAGAACCTGGGGCAGCCTAGCCTCACACTTCTGCTCCCTGGGAGGTTTTTGTCATGGCCTGTGTCACTGTGGGAGGGGAACTGCTACCTTGTTGACAGAAATAAGTGGCAACATCTTCAGGCCCCAGACTGCTGATGGTGAGAGTAAAATCTGTCACAGATCCACTGCCACTGAACCTCGAGGGGACCCTAGATTGCAAAGTGTTTGCATATGTGATGAGGAGCTTAGGAGCTTGTTCTCATTTCTGCTTATGCCAGTGTAAAAAATCGCTAATGTCCTCACTGGCCCTGCAGGTGATGGTGACTCTGTCTCCTTGAGATGCAGACAGGGGTGAAGGAGACTGGGTCATCTGGATGTCACATCTGGAACCTGACATTGAAAACATTAAATAAATAAATAAATAATAAAATTAAAACCTCACTAATTATGATACAAGACTCCATCCTCCAAGTGACAGGCATCACTGACCAGAGGGGGATAAGCAAATCCCCAGTACTGTCCCTCCTTACCTGAAAGGCAGAGCAGCAGGAGCCCCAGGACCTGAGCAGGGACCCTTATGGCCATGCTGTTTCCTGACCGGGATGACTCCTGCACAGGGTGTGAGCAGCCTCTTAAGAAGTCCGCAGGACAATGGGCTGTGCTGTGGGAACATGTAAATCAGCAGGGCTGGGCAGGCTGGGCACAGCTGCAGGGCTGCTCATCTGACACTCAGCACAGGCCAGATGTGCCCATTGTCCCAGTTCAGTTGAGAGCAGCACAGATGTGCCAGAGCAGAATATGATTCACCTGGAACACACAGGACACAACCAGAATACTCTCCTGTGAGGAGTGACTTATTGCTTTCTTCATGATCCAGGAAAGGCTTTTCTTGTGTCTCCTAAGGACATTTTTTTTTTCTTTTATTACTGACCTTAGGAACAGGAGAAATAAGGGGGAAAGAGACATTTTGTGCTTAGGATGTGAAAAGAGCCCTGAAGGCAGGAAGAAAGTAGAATATGTAAACTCTGTGATGTGGTTTAGGTTTCTCTACACATTGGCCTTGCTGGACCAGGAGGCCAGGGTGGGATAGAACCCAGTATGATTCTGCCCTTCCTTCCTCAGTGTCCCCAAGACACACTTAGACATGTGGTGTTTCCTCCCGTCCTGAGAAGAGCAGGCAAAGCCTACACAGGCCCTTTCCTAAGTGTCTTTCTGGAAAGGTTAGAGTAATTTTAGAAGCAAGTTTTAGTTCCTTTCATAGCTTTAGTGAAGATGAAGCTCAGCCCACCCTGGGCCCGTGTGTACTGAACAGTGACCTGCTCCTTGATGAGGGCTCTGGGGACATCCTGGGGACAGCACTGGAATTGTAACACCTCTCTCTTCCACTTCTGTCTCCTCCTCTCTGGACACCTCCAAGTCTGGTCACAATCACTGAATGGGCTCTCAGTGTGTTTTCTTCCCTCTTTGAATTCATAAGGACAGTCCATCCTCCTTGCTCATCTGGGGCACCCTCAGAGCAGGGACTTGTCCTCTCACCAGCCTGATCCTCTGCTGACCTGTATTCTGACTGCACTCCGTGAATCCCTGGGGGAAAGTTCCCTGTGTTTGGTTGTGGATATTATAGTCACAAAGTAGATCAGAAACCCTACCTGAGCTTGCATCTGGGGAGATACAGCCCATGTAGAGAGCCCTGGATCCCTGTGGAACTGAGTGCAGGGCAGAGCACCCAAGCCTTTGTGGCCCCCATGGGATGGGATCTCTCCTGTCCCAGGGCTTCTAGATCAGTTTTCTTGGATTGTTTATTTTCTGGTGTGTTGTCATGAGCTGCCCATGGGCTGCGTGTGGATTGTGCATAGTAGACTTCTGAGGGGACAGGTCTGGCACTGCAAAGTCCCTGTCAGGGATTAATCACATGATGCAGGTGCACCTCACCCTCTAGCTTTGCCTAAGATCCCACATAGCACCTGAGGTGGGTGTGACCTGCCAAGATGTCAATCAGTCTGCTGACCACAAGACTCATGAAGCAAGACCCCACCTTTGAAAACTTTTCCCTTCCTCTGATGTCCCTCCCTATAAAATAAAGAAAATGTGAGCTCTCTATCTCCTTTTTTTTTTCCAGCATGGAGGTTTGGCCCTTATGGTCAAAGAGCTGTCCTGATGTTGATGTCAAAATTTTTTCTGTGATGTGGTTTTTTGCCACCTTCTTCTTAGATTAAACTTGCAGCCAGTCCATTGAAGCCCAGTTTGTCTCACCTGTGCAGGTCGTGGTCAAGAGTGTGTTAGCTCTCTAGTGATGGGTGTGGGGAGCATCAATAGGCAGGATCTATACCTGGGGTCCAATGTCTTGACCATGGATATTTTATCCCCAATTCATGAAGTGGTTTCTCTCCCTTTATTACCAGGTGAGATTCTCTAGGAAACTCAAGTGACCAATCTCCCCAAGAAATTGTCCTTCTGCTGAAAAACAAAGGCTTATCAGTTTAGCAGGAATTCATAAGCCAGACTGGTCTTGGGCAGTGGATGTCTTGGCTGTGTGACACCCATGAGATGCCAAAGATGTGGTTTTGTCAAAGAAAGAAGGGGCCTAAGGGACCCTGCATGGTGCAGGTATAGGGGTGGGGGCTGTGGTGGTTTCTGGTCTACAATTGCCAACCCACCTACTGCTTCTGACCCAATCCCTTCCAGAGCCTCTGTGAGACATTTGCAGCTAACAGGGGCTCTCATGCCCAGGGCCAGCTCTCAGCAGTTGGGTGGGGTCACCCATGGACCAAAGGAGTAGCAGGGAAGGTCCCAAGGTGCTTCAGCTCCAGGTGCCACCAGACACTGGCCCTCTCTCCTCAGCCTCTGCAGGTAGTGAGCAAGGGAGAGACCTACCCTGGCCCCTGAGGACCCCTGCTCAGATCCTCATCTTCCCTTTGGAGTCCTGGGGCTCCAGGGTCACCTGTGACTAGTGTGTTCTCTGCCCAGGTGAGAGTGGCTTATATTTTTCTTTCTTAATCAAAAACAGGTTTATTGGATTTTTTTTTTTATGGAAAACAGACCCACTTGGAGGTGGGCTAGGAGGATGGTGACCCTGGGCATCTGCAGGGGAGGATGTGTCAGGAGATTCATCCCTGGCTGAGGTCTGGAGTCTGCTGTGGCCTGGGAGGTTCAGCACATGACAGCTGTGACTCATCCCAGCCACTAATATGAGGACATAGAAATAGGAGGAGGAAGTGAAGGTGTTCAAGGTCACCTACATAGAAACACTCTACAGAGGTCAAGTTAAAGAATAAAACAGATTTTTTTGCACCCCAAGAAAAGATCAGAAAGTCACTTGTGAAGGGAGAAGAAAAGAACAATAAGTAAGGAATATCATGCACATTTATGCCTTTTCAGCATTTTTAATGTTGGCTCTTCTAGCTGTGGACTGTGGCCAATTAACTAGTGACTGTTATTTGAATTATTTTGAAAAGGTTATCAATTACTGTAGGCCTGGTTTATTTTATACACTGCAGAAGTAATATATATATATATATATATATATATATATATATATATATATATATATGCTTTTCAATGAACAATATTCTTCTGAGATCTCAGGGCCCTTGCTGTTCCCAGGGGCACTTTGTGGTCTTTGCTTTTGCTGAGCTTTATTGGTCATGGGTATCCCACCTCCCACCTCAGATGCATCTCCAGATGCCCCTGTGCTTTCCTGGAAACACAGAGGGGAAGAGTCACACACTCTACACACCTCTCACCACAGCAGACCCACACATAGCTCATCAGGGTTGAAATGATTCTTCCCAATTTCATTCATGCAGCCACTGTTTCCTTCATGGTCAGGTACCCAGGACCACAAGGACATCAAAGCCTAGATCACACACTGGCTCAAGTGCACTTGACCTCATGTCAGGGCTTTAACTTGTTCCAGCAAATTCTGCCATAAACTTGAAAACCCTAAAACATCAGAGAATGTCTGGGCTTATATTGAAAAAAGAATGATAAATTCCACTAAACTTGAGGTACAATTACCTTCACATTTGAAAAAATATCTATTGGGAAATGGAAAAGAAAGTTACAAGAGCAACAAGGATTTTTTGAAGTGATACAAAGATAGCTTGTTTGTAAAATATTGATAAAGTTTTAATGCAATCCAATAGAGGAGGGAGAGAGCCCAGGAGGGTGGTGCTTCATGCAAGGGTCAATCTTGGGAAGGCAGTTGGGACTGAGGATCAGCCTCAGGACCAGGTGACTAATTACAGCTCTCTTTTCTTGAGTTTTGACCTGAAGGAAGTGGGGAAGCACTCTACATGGACCTAGAGTACATGGAATAGAACTTGAAAATATTGTGCTTCCAATCCAGTTCACAGAGATCACACACATGCACACCTGGTGTCCTATAGAAGCTCCCCCTCACTCAGCTTATTTTCACATTTGAATTCAATACACCTGGCACAATTCCAGGCTATAAGTGTGATGTTCTACTCTATGAAATTTTTTTGTGCAGATAACTGGTGAGTGTGTCTATGAGAAGCCACAGTGTAGAAATATCAATTTAATTTTTTTTTTTTTTTGCAATTTTGGGGAAAAAATTGTGCAATGCTGAAAAATAAATGACTAAAAAGTGATATAATTTTATAAACTAATTTGTGAAAATTATTAACAAATATCATCAACTGAGATCCAAATTTGTATTTTCAATGTTGGGGTTTTATGCCAAATATCATTTTGAAAAAGTGAAAGAGTAGATAGAAAACACTTTATTCTAAGATGCAGATGACACCTCTGGGAATCAGAAGATTCAGAGCAAAGTTTTAATACATGTATAGAGAACAGGTGTCTAGTACCAAGTTTCTCTCTTACCCTACACCTCATCATGAGCTCACTCTGAGAACCACAAGGGTTGTCCTCATCAGTTAATGCCAATGGGTGTGGGGGGTGTGGAGAGGTTTTGACTTGAATGCATTAGCATCATAAGGTGGCACAGGTAAGGTGACTTTCCCCACAGTAAAGCCAGAATGATGGGTGGCTCTGATTTATTTTATCAAGGAGAATGTTCTTCCAAGGAGAGTATGCCTCCTGGGCCTATCAGGATAAGAAACCTTTCTTTTGGGTGAGCTGTGGCCCTTGTAGACCAGAAGTCAAAGCACTGGCACTAAATAGGAGCTTTCTAGAAATTAAGAATTATAGCCCATATTTAAGAAGAGTGTATGGTCACAAGCTCTGTGTGGAAAGATATGTGTCCTTGTCAAAAATCTGTGCATGAATTCCTGGAAAGCAGGTTGGTTCAGGTCATGGAGGGAGAAGACAGAAATCAGAGTCCCACTGATCCTGAGAAGATAAACACTTGTCAAATACAAATGAGAATTGTCCTCAAAAGAAGATAGAGTAAAATTGGGAACAATCAGAAGAAACAAAAATAGGGAAGATACTTTAATTCCTGCCCCTGCAAACATAGGGCTCAGCAGAGGCAGCAGCTTTGCTGTGGCAGGCTAGTGATGGAAAGAGGAAAGGGAAAGGGCACAGTGAGGAGTTCTTAATTTTCTGCTCCATGACATACTTCCCTAAGATCATGTGCCATGTGTGGTATTTGGTTCCAGACCATGAGTCACTGTTTTAATAAAAAAAAAAAAAATTCTGCTAGAATCAAAACAGTTATATTGATGTCCTTGCATGTGCACTTCTGTGGATTGTGCTTTGGTTTCAACTTCAGGTGACCCCCTTCACCTACTGTGTTAATACAGGAGTATTCAGAGGTGAAATGACAAGAAGAGGAAAGCTGAGGTTATTCTGGCTGTCCTGGCCTGAGTGGACTAACTGGGTGGTGACTGAGGGCAGGGAGTGTGGCTGGAGCAGGTGGTCACTAGGGGTGAGCCCTAGAATGTGCATCCTCCCTCAGGCCCCTTCCTGCTCTCCTTGCACTTCCTGGCCACCATGGGTGAAGCATCAATCCTTATACATACCCTTCTGCCCTGAAGTTCTGCCCACCTGGGCCCAGAACAATGGGGTCAGCTGACCATGGACTGACTTTCTGAACCAATGTACTTAAATAAACGTTTTCTCCTTTAAGTTACATGACTGTTGGAATTTTGTCCCACTGACAGGAAACTCACCACGAGTGATTAAGTGGATTTGCCTTGAATTCAGGCCTCTGTGTGGATGAAGGGCTTCCAAGGAGAATGTGCTTCCTGGGCCTAGCAGGATAAGAAACCTTTCTTTTGGGTAAGGTAGTGGCTCTCTGTAGACCAGAATTCAAAGCACTGGCACTAAATAGGAGCTTGTTAGAAGTTAAGAATTATAGGCCTATGAGGGGACCCAATACCAGTAATGTCCAAGTAAAAAAGAAAACATCCTTCATTATATGAAAACCTGGGTAAACTCACGTGAATGAGAGAAAGTTCAGTCAGTTCACATTAACTGAGTTGAAATGTATCTAAGGATTATCTGAACTGGATTTTAAAGCAGTCACCATAAAAGTGCATCAACGAGCACCTGCAAATATGTTGTAAAGAAATGAAAAACAATCAGAAAGCATCAACAAGAGTATTGAAACTGTGCAAAGGCAAAAAATGGAAGTTTCAGAAATGAAAAATGCATCCTCCACAATGAAAGCAGAGGTGAGCTCAACAGGTGAATGGAGCAGACAGAGGAAGGAGGCAACAGGAGGGACAGCAAAGGTCACACCAAGCTAGAGAACCCTGAGAAGGCAAATACACAGGGACTCAGAATGAACCAGGAGGTGCCTCTCAGCTCCCCTCACAGCCTCACTGCCAGCTTCTGAAGACAGAGACAGAATCCTTAGCTTTATGGGAGAAGCAACTAGAATCACCAGAGAATTTCTACCCAGAAAACAGGGAGGATAAGGGAAAGGACACACTTTCAAGTGCTGAAGGACAATTCTGATGAGCTAGAACTCTAGATCTAGGGAAATGTACTTCAGATACGAATGTAAAATTAAGAGCCCCTCAGGTGTAGAAAAACAAAGAGAATAATACATTGCTAACCCCAAAGTGGGTGCAAAGTGCTCTATAAAGAAATAATATGTGATAGGAACATGAATCTTGGAACACAGGGATGGAGAAGGACCAAAAAGGAAGGGACAAATGACAAGCATTTGACAGCTCAGATGACCACTGCACATTATGGACATATGTCCAAACATCACTATGACATCCCAAATCACCAGGGAAATGCAAATAAAAACACATGACAAGCACCTCTTGGAGTGAATGGCCAAATCCAGGAGGGGACAAACCCGCCATGGGCAGCAGGAACGCAGTACAGGCCCCATCCCTGTTGCTGAGCTGGTCCTGGCTGCAGTCACAAGCCACTCCCAGCAACTGAGTGTTCTGCGGAGTGTTGACAAGCTGTCTCCAAGATGAAAACATGATGTGCAGGACAGTGTGACAGATTCTGATAACACTAGGCATTCTGCTACCAAACAGGCAGCAATCATGCTCCTTATGTCTAATACATGTTAAACATGTGCTATGTGTTAACACAAATCTAAAAAAAAAAAAAACAAAACCAAAAAACCTGAACAGGAAAACTTATAGGAACTGTGTTCAGCATTGAAAACTTGGAGGACACAAGCCTGCCCTTCATTAGGGGGATGGATCAATACTGTCCAGAAGCCAGAAGTAGAGTCGAACTCAGCACTGAATAGAACACAGCTATTGAGAAGTCTGTAATGATTCTTGCCTCTAACCCCAGCAACTGGGAGGCTGAGGTAGAAGGAGCACAAGTTGAGGGCCATGTTCAGCAACTTAGCCAGGACCTAAAAACTTAGAACAAAACAAAACAAAAACAAAAAAACAAAAAACAAACAAAAAAACCCACTGAATCAAACCAAACAAACAAACCAATTTAAAAGAAAGAGGTCTGTGAATATGGGTAAGTGGTTGCACATGCCTGTATTAAGTACAAAATTAAAAAGAGAGAAAAAAAGAAAACAGCTATCATGTAATGAAAATCCATGAAGGAAGGAAACTTACATGCATAGCACTCAGGTGAGAGCCAGTTTGAACATCGTCCATGCTGTAAATTCCAGGCCCTGTCACTCAGCCCAGGAGAAATTACAGCATGGAAAATCATAAAGATCTGCAGCAGAGAGCTGGGTGAGGAGCAGCTGGAGCTCAGACAGTGTGAGGGCCGGACCTGCACTGTGCCAGGCCACACTGTTGGACACATGTCACTGTCCACTTGTCTAGTTCCACAGAATGCACAAAGTGACCCTGGTGTAACCTGTAGACATGGTCAGAGGTTGATAAATTATAACAGAAGCAAGAGAGTATGGGGTGGTGATGGAGGGGCTTTGGGAGCAGGGGGGACACAGGAGAACTCTTCACTTCACTCCTATTTTGCTGGGGACATAAACTATACTAAAAAATAAAGTGTAAAACATTCTTGTGTGGAATACATGGAGAGGCCTATATTTGGGCACAACCCTGATACTGCCTAATTCAGTCTGTTCAGGTCTTAAATTATTTTCTTTATCATATAGTGAGCTCATTGCCTGCTGGGGCTGAGCTGAAGGGTCAGGGTGCAGAGGAGCCCCCCAGGATCCTCTGACTGACCCTCCTTGTAGTTCTCAGGCCTGGCTGCCTCTGAGCTGTGCCCTCAGGAAGGGGAGGCAGCAGGAGGAGGAGCTGGGGCAGCCCAGCCTCACACTTCTTCTCCCTGGGAGGTTTTTGTCATGGCCTGTATCACCGTGGGAGGGTAACGGTTATATTGTTGACAGTAATAAGTGACAACATCTTCAGGCTCCAATTTGCTGATGGTGAAAGTGAAATCTGTTACAAGTCCACTGCCATTGAATCTCAAGGGGACCTCGGATTGTAAACCGGTTACAAGATCAATGAAGGTCTTAGGATCTTGGCCTGGCTTATGCTGATACTAGTATAAATAATTGCTAATGTCCTCATTGGCACTACAGGTGATGGTGACTCTCTCCCCACGAGAAACAGGCAAAGAGGATGGAGACTGGGTCATTGTGATGTCACATCTGACACCTGCCATTGGAAACATAAAAAATAATCCTTGTAAGTAGTGATGTTCCAAGAGGACTTTCCTGAGTAGCCATACAGCACTGACCACACTGTGATTAGTAAATCCCCAGTACTGTCCCTCCTTACCTGGGAGGCAGAGCAGCAGGAGTTCCAGGAGCTGAGCAGGAGCCCTCATGGCCATGCTGTGTCCTGACAGGGACTGACTCCTGCACAGGGTGTGAGCAGCCTCTTAAGAAGTCCTCAGGGCAGTTGGCTGTGCTGTGGGCACATGCAAATCAGCAGGGCTGGGCAGGCTGGGCACAGCTGCAGGGAGGGCTCCTCCTGGTCAATCAACACAGGCTCAGTATGTCCAGGTGTTCCAGGTCAGACCAGGGCATCTCAGATTTGCTTGGGGTGAACATGGGGCCACAAGACACACTCAGCCCCCTGAGCTGTGAGGGGTAATCTGTAGAATTTCCTGGTTGAAGACATATTGTTCTTGTGTTTTAAGTGGTAAGGCGAGATTGCAATAAATCACTAAGTGGATCTTAGAGCAGGAGACAGAAACGTTATCACCAGTTGGTGGTCCGGATCCAACAGCTGGTGGGCCAAGGTGGAGTTTGCAAGTCTACACCCTTTGACCCCCTCCTGGGGTTTGAATAGACCCTTTATAGTCCAAAACCATATTAAAACATAAGTGGCTATTATTATGATTTTAAACAATAAACAAGCGTCATGAGATATAAAATTATAAGCAGAAAAATGAGTGGGCCCAAACCTCCCTAGTTGACTACAGTTAAAAAAAAAAATGTAAGTAACATCTAGATAATTAATCTGACAGGGTACTTTGTCCAAGAAAAATGGGAACAAAGGAAAGGACATTTTTACAAGGCATAAGAATTGCCATTTTGTGTTGCCAAACTGCTGTGCCATCCACTGTCGAAGGGCACAGAGGCAGGGGTTCCCTGGGAGAAGCACTACTTACAGGACATGGAGTCTCAGGGCAAAATGAAGTGTGTTTGGTTGTTGGCCATGAATCCTGGCTCATAACATAAGCACAGTTCTGTGTTTCTGACCCTTGGGGGTTTAGGAGGCATTAATGAAACAAAGGGGTAGTTTATGCTTTAGAAGTAAAAACAGAAATAAAGGCAGCAAGAGAGGAAGATGTATAAACTCACTGAGGTGTTTGGGGTTTCTGGACATTGGCACAGTATGGGTAAGAAGTTGGGGAGGAGGGGACCCAACCATAGACCCAGCCCTCCCTGCCTCAGAGTCCCATAGAGCACACTCATACCCATCACAGTTATCATCTTCTCCAGACCAGCAGGTCTAAGCCTAGCCAGGCTCTACAACTTAAATATCTTTTAGGAAAAGTAAGAATAATTTACAAACTAGTGAAAGTACTTTAGCAGTTGAAGTTTGGAGAATATAGGGCATAGTTAGCATCTTAATAAAAACAGCAAAGATCCAGATTCTTTATATAATTCTACCTTACCAGTATGACCACAGGAGTTTTTTAATCTTGGTCTTAATGCCTCATGGCTTCAAGAGGGTTATAGTGTCTCTAAACATCATTTCCTCCATCAGTTCCACTTATAAGTTTTTTCAAGAATAAAGCAGGTCAAAGTTATTTACCTCTGGTTTTCTTAGAGTTTTCCAAGATTTTTTCCTGTACCTGTCCATGATCAATTTTTTTCTTTTCTTTTTCTTTCTTACTTTATCTCCTCCTCCTCCTCCTCCTCCTCCTCCTCCTCCTCCTCCTCCTCCTCCTCCTCCTCCTCCTTCTTCTTCTTCTTCTTCTTCTTCTTCTCTCTCTCTCTCTCTCTCTCTCTCTCTCTCTCTCTCTCTCTCTCTCTCTCTCTCTCTCTCTTTTCTATCTTTAATTTGTCCCTTTGGTGCTGATGACTGAACCCAAGGTCTGGTGCATGCTGCACAGATCTCTACCTCTAAGTCAGAGCGCCAGCCCCTCCCTCCCTCACTTACACATCATTTCTGGGATCATTAGTTGTCCCCTGATACTTCCTCCTGCCCTGGTATGGGAGGGATCACCTGTTACTACCACAAACAGCAGGACAGAGCTTGAGAGCAGTAAACTAAAGGAAAAAGAGGAAGGTTTAAAATCATCACCCTATTTTAAATATCCCTGTTCTTGTGCTAAGTTCCTTAGAGAAGAGAGTCTACAATGAAATCTTTACTGTGGGGCTGGGATAAGTAGATTTAGATCAAGTTTCTCCTTAGAAAGGTGACAAACTGCAGGTGGACAATTGTGAGAATGTGTGCAGAGCATCTGATGAAGGAAGGACTTTGCTGGTGACTTAGTTGGGAGAGGCTGGGGCAGGAGCTCACCCAAGGCTGAGTTCAGGGTGGAGCTGCCTGAGAGCTGCAGGCTCTGCCCTGGGCTCTGAAGTGGAGGTTCTCCTGGGCATGTGGTGAGGACCTAAGGAAGCAGAGACCCTGCCCTCAGGCTGCCTGGCAGGGAAGCCAGGGGAGGAAGTGTCATAGAGATGGGCAGTTTTCTGGGGCCCAAACAGAATTTCTGTGTTCAGAGATGGACATGGGTATCTCCTGTACGGTTGCTTCCCCACACAGGGCAGAATAGCTGGCTCAGTGATTGCATGGCCACAGGACAAACCCACCCACAGCAGCTGCTGGCCACTTCTCTGACTGGTGAGATAGAAGTGCCTCTGGCACCTCCACAGTTCACATGACGTAGGAACTCTGCACACAGTAGACCATGGTAACTTCATGAACAGCCCCCTGAACATCTGCTGCTCTCTTTTCTGGTCTCTAAAAACCACCAGGCACCATCTTTGACTCTCCCATGAGAAAACAAGGGGTGGAGTCAGAGGCAGGCCAAGGGCCATAATGTGCAGGAGAACAGGGTTGTGACCCACATGAGGACAGCCATGTCGGAACTGAGGATTGACGGGTGTGAACTCAGAGTAGGAGGGGACAGAACAGACAAAACTCCAGGGACATAGTCCTCATTCCTAGTCCTTCACTACATCTTTCAAGTGCAGTTCCACAGCGAGGCATCTGCTCAGACCCACACAGCTGCTGCTTTTCCCTGGCTGTATTAGAAGTATTGCTTTTCACCAATTACCATTAAGTACTCTCTGAGTCTTTCCTGGGTGTCATTGCCCTATAGACAGAGAGTCTAATGGAACAACAGGCAGTGAGAGGAGGTGAAATGTCTCCCAAATGGAAAGTGTGAGTGTGACAGGGCGTGGTGAAGTGGTGATGGCTACAACCCCAGGGTCCTTCTGAACTCTGATTTCCAGGGACACCATTGAGGACTGTCTGCCATCCCTGCTGTGCACTGGAGCCCTCCTGTGGCCATGTGTGGAGAGGCACCCTGTGGGTTTCCTATGGACCTTGTGGTCTTAGAGTGCTGTGTACTGTCTGGAACATTTGAAACACATTCTGCTACTGTTGTGCTTGTCTAGATAGAAAAATCACATGTGACTTTGATGCACTCTGAAGGACCATGGTTACATTTGTAAATGATTCCTAGTGGGATGTTAGCTGCCCAGGAATTGGGATCTGTAGTTCAGATGCCACACAATATTTTGCCAGTCAACACACCCTAGGTGTTAGTGAAGGGACCATAGAGTCATGTTGCTTGGAGGACAGGCAATTGGGTGAATCTTTGTTTGAATCACATGTTTTGTGACTTCTTCCAGTCATGATCTGTGGGGTGTGATCAATGGAAATTGTGAGATATCATCAATTTAATTACCAGGGCTGCAGGATGTAGGGTGGATGAGGGAGTCATCAGTTAACAGCTACTGGACACAACCAGCAAAAGCATCTTCTGTATCCTTCAATGTTTGCTGAAGTCATGAACACACCCACAAGGGGACCTGGCCACTGAATCCCACCTACCAAGAACCTTCTTGACTGCTTGTTGAGAGCCACAGCTCAGTCGGAATGGCCCCTGGCATTTTGTCAGAAGTAGTGGTTTAGAGGTGACACCAGCGAGCCATTAAGATGATGACTTTTGAGTTCTCACGGAGTTCCTGTTGAGTTCCAGTTGAGCTCTCTCAGGGATTCCTTAAGAGTTTGCGTTGGTTGGTGGAGTTCTGGTGGAGGGAGTTCTGGTTGGTGTGTGGTCCTGCAAGGGCCGTGTGGGTGGCGTTCAGGGGAGTTCAGAAATAAAGTTTGTTCCTGCTTGAGTGGCTCATGATTTGTGCCCAGCCAGACTGTGGCAATTGGTGGCCCGTGTGGGGAACGACTGAGGGTAAGTGATAAGGTAAACTGCTCGCTCCTGAGGGCAGTGCAAAAGGATGGGTAACCATTTAAAGTTTCATCTTTCATTTTGTTTCGCATTTGTTTTAAGTTGCCAGTCCATGGAGATGGGTGGGACGGAAGAAAAACCGCTCACATCTGAGGAAAAACTATTTGTGTCTGAGGAACAGATGGGGAGAAAGGACGGATGGACATTTCAGGAGGACAGAAAGGTGATATAATGAATTTTTGTTCCATTTTTGTTTCATTTTGTCTCAGTTTTCTTTTGCATTATCTTAGTGAGGGGTATCTTTGTCATGGAAATATGGAATTAAAAATTAGTAAGGACCAAACTGAAAGGGCATTAAGTAAAGTACTAGAGGAAGGAGGCATCTCAGTAAAATCAAGAACAGTTAGGACATATGTTAAGATGATACAAAGGTGTAGCCCATGGTTCATTAAAGAGGGGTTGTTAAATATATCACAATGGAACCATCATGGTGAAGATTTTAAAAAGATACAAAAGTAAAGCCCAGGGACTCTGCCAGTTGGCACATTACCATTATGGATATTGGTACAATCTTGTTTGCTTAGTCTAGGAGAAGACATCTTATATCAAGTAAAAGAGGGTGTCTCTCGAGTTAGTCAGACAAAGGAAAAAGGTCTAGAGGAGGAAGGGCTATCAGGGGAGAAGTTACAACAGGAGGCTGCTACTAACACCTTTCTATCACCAGAGGGCATAAGTGTCCAACCAACAGCTCCACCTATGGAGACAACTATGCTGGGGGGCCCCCAACCCCCATAGTTGATTGACGGGATCTTGAGACAGGACTTCAAAGATTAGCATGCCCTGTATTTCAGATGGCAGGAGGGCAGCAAATTCACTGTGCTTTAGATTTCAAAACAGTGAAGAAGCTAAAAGAGGCTGTAACAACCTATGGTCCTCAAGCACACTTCACTGTAAGCATGGGCGAATCCATTACCAA